ATAAGACCCATGACCTCTGACGGAGACCCAGCTTTCTGACACTGGGCCCTACATTGTGCCCCAGAATTCTTTGGTAGTCTTCAGATTTCGTAATGCCAAGCACCCAGTCAAGACATCCAATGTCTAAGGCAGCAAAGCAACCCCAAAATATCAGTGAACCTCCACCATGTTTGACTGTAAGGACAGTGTTCTTTTCTTTTGAAGGTCTCCTTCTGTTTTCTGAAGACAGTAGAATGATGTGCTTTACCAAAAAAAGCTATATTTTAGTCTCATCTGTCCACAGGACATTCTCCCAGAAGGATTTTGGCTTCCTCAGGTATGTTTTGGCAAACTCCAACCTGGCTTTTTTTTATGTTACTCTGTCAGCAGTGGGGTCCTTCTGGGTCTCTTACCATATTGTCCCTTTTCATTCAGATGGCAACGGATGCAGGTCAGCGTGAATTTGTTTGGAAGTTGACAGAGGTTCTTTATCTACTCTTTGAACAATCCTTAATTGTAATCTTTCATAATTTTTCTCTTTCATCCATGGCACTGTAGTTAATATCCCTGGACATGGTCTGTAAACTTCTTCACAATGTTGCACACAGTGGACACAGGAACATTAAAATGTCTGGAGATGGACTTGTAGCCTTGAGATTGTCCTTGCTTTTCCACAATTTTGGTTCTCAAATCCTCAGACAATTCTTTACTCTTCTTTCTTTTCTCCATGCTCCGTGTGGTACACACAGACACACAACACAAATGTTAAGTCAAATTTTCCCCATTTTTAACTGGTTGCAAGTGTGATTTCTATATTGCCAGCACCTGTGAATTTCTACAGGTGAGTTTAATTACAAATTAAAGGAGCATGACATGCTTGAAATACAATTATTTCTGTAGATTCTGAAAAGGTGCCAATAATTTTGTCCAGTTCATTTTTGGAGTTCTGTGTAGAATGTCTCAGATTTAGAATCAAACAATGAGGTAACTGCTGATGGCCTATAAACTGCAGATTTATCCTGTTTAGTAGTGCTGTTGAGGGAGTTTGAGCTATTGGGATGATTGGAAAGAATCAATGCTAATATGCTATCATAGCTTACTTCTGTTTACAAATCACCAGTCTTGTTATGTTAAAAGGTTGTGTCTACAGATTCAATGTGCGACTCCACCAAACTTGCTTCTTCAGGATGGTTTAATTAGAAGTGGGGAGTGGGACGGAGGCTAAAACAGGTTGAAGAAGACCTGTGTAGTTTGTACCCAACCCGTGTTGCTATTTCTTTTGTCACATTAGCTAACGCCTGCTAACACACAGTGAGGTTTCTGGGAGGAGTTGTCAAACTTGGACTGTTCTGCTAAATGTGCACAGACATTGTTGTGTGAGGGATCCATTAGTAGTTAGATTGTCCATTAGGAATTTTGACCATCATGATACTGAGATAACAATGTGAGCTCGTCATTTAGGCTGGTCTGAGTCATGTGTGCCTTTGGGCCTATTTTTGGGTGTTGGCACATTGTCTGTGTCAGTGACATCAGCAAAAGCCATCCTAGACTATTTTAATCCTAACATTTAAAAGCAAAATGATTTTAATTGCTCATTATTTAGAGGATCATCTGTTGTTGTTACATTGAGATCTGTGGACTGTTTAGTTCTGTTTTGAGTGCACAGAGTCGGCATAAAATTAATTTCAGTGGTTCTGTACACATTGTCCTTTTAAATCGTACCTGCCCTGTTTACCCACAAATTTACCCATAATGCTTTTTAATTTTTTTTATTGCTGAGCATGCATATTCAGGGTTGGTACGGTCATGAAAAACCTGGAATTTTAAAACACCAATTTCCAGGCCTGGAAAAGTTTTGGAAAAATAAATAAACCCAGAATGTTTTAGAAAAGTCATTGAAATCTATTTCACAAAACTCTGTATAATAGAGTTGTTTAATCAGGTCCTGAATTTTGGTGCGGGATTGCACATAGTTTTACTCATTCCCGCAGCTTTTGACTTTAAAATGATGGATATTCACACATTTATTCAATAGCCTATAGCATGTAGGTTTGAATGAGTAAATAATCAAACCTACAGACTGAGTCCAGTCCACACAGATTGATCAAATCAGTCATTTGAAAACAGCGTGAGTGATTCAGCTGTACGCGTCTTCTCTCTTTGACTTTCTCTTCAAACGGCTTCACATCGGCGCATCTTGTCTGCGCTACAAGAGCCGCTGCACGCTGCGATACAAGACTTTCACTCGCGTTTCGTTGCGCATAGTTTTACTCATTCCCGCAGCTTTTGACTTTAAAATGATGGATATTCACACATTTATTCAATAGGCCTATAGCAGGTAGGTTTGATGAGTAAATAATCAAACCTACAGACTGAGTCCAGTCCACACAGATTGATCAAATCAGTCATTTGAAAACAGCGTGAGTGATTCAGCTGTACGCGTCTTCTCTCTTTGACTTTCTCTTCAAACGGCTTCACATCGGCGCATCTTGTCTGCGCTACAAGAGCCGCTGCACGCTGCGATACAAGACTTTCACTCGCATTTCGGGACAGTTGACAGAATTGTCACTTGCCTAATCGGGTCATTGTTGCATCGTCAGAAAATTGTATTATTTATTTGCACGTTTTTTTTAAGCCATTCGGTACTCGCGCGCTCCAGAGGCGGTGTGCAGTCATATCTAAAGTGCACTCGTTCCAGAATTGATTGCAAATTGAGTTTGCTACCAAATAAACTCATCAGAA